AGTGACAAGAACAGCTGCTTTTGCTTTGCTTCACTGCTTCATCAGAAGTGGTCTGAAGCACCTAACCAGCCTATAGACCGACGTCATGTCCGTGAACCAGAGCGATTGCCCCTCTTTCATGGTCCCCGTATGCTTGGAGTATCCCATGCAGTGGCGATTTCAGTGTGGTTTCCTGCATCGAGATATCAAACCACCGAATTTTGCCATAGGACGAGAAGAAGACAACAGCCAGCAAACCATATTTATTCTAGACTTCGGTTTGTGTCGGCGATACAGGTAAAGCAATACATACTAAATTTCTAATCTTGATTTTATTTCCCTTGCTATGTAGCTCGTGTGGACATACACAAACACATGCACACAACAACATATAACACACAATTCAAATCAAGCTAGGTTCAGAATAAAGAAATTGTCAGCTAGAAGAGTAATAAAAAGCGTTCAAAAAACCCGTACATAATTTAGTGCAACGTGAGGTTATAGAATTCCCTAGGACATGACATCATTCTTTTTCTGTCACATCGGAGTAGGTTTGTAGTCGAACAAAAACTTTTCGGGTCTCACGTTTCGCACAGCTGGCGTCTTCATTCTTTCGTGCGGCATATAAGAGTTGTTCTCTTGGTTCTCTGAGCTCCAACGATGCCATGCATACTATTCGTCCGAAGCTTTCACGGAGGAGCCACTCCCGGGTCGTTGATCGTCGTTGATCGTCACCTCGACGTCCCGAAGAATTGAGATGATGCAATGGTTCTGCGGTCGTAATCTGAACGCATGATGTATCCACTTCACCGGTTCATTCAATGCTGGCGAATGCGGCTGCGTCCCTGACTTCCAATCGTCGAGATGGTGCGAAGTTCCAGATTTCCATCATCTATTGTGTGCTGCGGGAAACATCAAGCATTGTTTTTCGAAGGCATGTTGAATAGGGATGGAGAGCAAGTATCTAAGGTGCTCGATACTGTAGGGATTCTCTAACTACTGACGTAAAATACGCAGTCAGGAATGTTTGATGTACGGGGGGTGGGGGAGGGCAAAAAAAAGACAC